GCGATTTTGGTGTTTTCACAGAAGATGAGTGCACATCTTTCTACTCAGCCATCTTGACTCACTCAATATTCTGATAAATTTGGAAAACTCAGCAGTGGCCACAGAACTGGAAAAGGTCAGTTTTCATTCCAATCCCAAAGAAGGGCAATGCCAAAGAATGTTCAAGCTGCCGTACAATTACGTTCATTTCACATGCTAGCAAGTTCATGCTCAAAATCCTCCAAGCTAGGCTTCAACAGGTACATGAACCAAGAACTTCCAGATGTGCAAGCTGGATTTATAAAATGTAGAGGAACTAAAGATCAAATTGCCAACAGCTGTTGGATCAAGAAAATGCAAGAGAATTCCAGAGAAACATCTACTTCTGCTTCACTGACCATGCTAACAGTTTGACTGTGTGGATCACAACAAACTGTGGAAAATTCTTCAAGAGATTGGAATACCAGACCACCTAACCTGCCTCCTGAGAAATCTGTTGCAGGTCAGAAAGGAACAGTTAGAACTGGACATGGAACAGTAGTCTGGTTCCAAATTGGGAAAGGAGTACATCAAAGCTGTATATTGTTACCCTGCTTATTTAACTTACATGCAGAGTACATCATGAGAAATGCTGGGCTGGAAGAAGCACAAGCTGGAATCAAGATTGCCTAGAGAAATATCAATAACCTGAGATATGCAGATAACACCACTCTTATGGCAGAAAGCGAAGAGAAATAAAAAGCCGCTTGGTGAAAGTGAAAGAGGAGAGTGAAAAAGCTGGCTTAAAACTCTGCATTCAAAAAACTAAGATCATGGCATCCAGTCCCATCACTTCATGGCAGACAGATGGGGTAACAATGGAAACAGTGAGAAACTTTATTTTCTTGGGCTCCAAAATCACTGTAGATGGTGACTGCAGCCATGAAATTAAAAGACACTTTCTCTCCTTGGAAGAAAAGCTATGACAAACTTAGACATCATATTAAAAAGCAGAGACATTACTCTACCAACAGAGGTCTACCTAGTCAAAGCTATGGTTTTTCCAGTAGTCATGTATGGATATGAGAATAGGACTATTAAGAAAGCTGATCATTGAAGAACTGATGCTTTTGAACTGTGGTGTTGCAGAAGACTCTTGAGAGTCCCATAGACTGCAAGGAGATCAAACTAGTCCATCCTAAAGGAAATCAACTCTGAATATTCATTGGAAGGACCGATGTTGAAGCTCTGATACTTTTGGCCACCTGATGCAAAGAGCCGACTTGTTGGAAAAGACCCTGCCTGATGCTGGGAAAGACTGAAGGCAGGAGAAGAAGGGGGAGACAGAGGTTGGATGGCATCACTGACTCAATGGACATGAGTTTGAGCAAGCTCCGGGAAATGGTGAAGGACAGTTAAGCCTGGCATGCTGCAGTCCATCGCAGAGTCGGACACGACTGAGCCACTGGACAACAACAACAACATAGTGTTTTCCTCCTTGGGTGGACATTTTCCCATGACCAGTTTGGAAGATGGCAGGAAAATATGCCATTCTGATGTTGCCAAATCTTCAACAAGTTCTACATGGAAGAGATGATAGAATGTGAAATAAAGTCATTTTCTTGACAAAGCTGATGATACCGAGCTAGGGTAACTATTTTGCAGTATCTCAGCAAAGGGACAGAGCATTTTTCCTTGCCAGTTGGAGGACATGCCTGAAAAGGATGATCTCCATCTTGCTGAGATCCTCTTTTCTACTCCTTTCAAAGCAAACTTCACTCCTCAGAGAGCTCATCATCTCACTTCCATTCAATAATCTCTCTTTTCATCAAGTCTTGCTTTCAAATATGTCAATGATTCACTTTGACTTGAAAAACCAAAAGCATCACTTATCTTTTAACACCTGTTTCTCTTGCCTTTTCCCCTGAATTTTCCTAACTGGGACCCATAGACTTCTCAATAAGCCCTGCTCCCAATTATCATTTTCAAACTGATTCCCAGGCACAGCCAGAGGGTCTCCCCTCCCTCCATGTCTTCCCGTCCCCACTTCCAAGGGTCCTGTGAGGCGTGTTTATTGACACAAAGTCATCAGGTAAATAGCTGGTGATACTCAAGTGTCAAGCTATTTTGGTCTTTCTGTCAGCTGTCATTTTAGTTCAATGCCAGGTAACAGGAAAGTAGCACAAACATTTACTTAGAAGCAATCAGCCCACACCCCTGGGTTCTGAGTGGGTACGGACTGAAAATTACATGTCAATGCACACAAAACCACTTGCCTTTAATGACTCCTTTCTGTGTGGCTAAAGGAGGGGAGGGTCACCTTGTATAAGCACCTTACACTCAGCAAATGAGGTCAATAATTAAGAAGTACCTAAATTATGCTGATAACTCTCAGTCTTAATGATCAAAATTAAAACGAAGAAATTGATCAAATTAGTATTCATTTAAAAAATGTAAAAGCTGCTTTTGACCTCTACTGAAAAGGCCCCACACATTTTTAGAACATGGACACGTTGCACTCTGAATTATAATTATTGCTCCTGAGCAACAAATTAGGAAGGTGGGAAAGTTAAATAGGCACGCAGCACTGGAATGAAACCGTCTGGCTAATTTGTTTCCAGGCATAATTCGGCACCACAGAAATGGGAAAGTGCTTTTTAAATTCCTATTTGGCACTCAGCATCCTATAGGAGGCATCGCGACACCACCAAACAGAGCCGAGCACCCGTCAGGAGCCCTCTGGACTTAAAGCGACGCAAGTCCCGCCTCCTGCAGCAGACGGCATTGGCCGCTGGCTGTTCAAGCTCCTCAGGAAGAGCCTTCTCCCTCACGGGCGGGAGAAAACCTGCATCAGAGCAGCAAAGGCAAGGGGCTTAATGCACTATCCAGACCCTCGTTAAACCCTGTTTCCTCCTATTGGGGAGTGAACATTAAGAAGCCAAGCACACTGCTCCTTTATTCTTCCTTACCAAGCCAGCCTGATCAAACAACCTGGATAAAAGAGATTTTTGCTCACTAAAGGATACATGCTGGCTCTCTCCCTCTAGTAATTTAGTGTTCTGAACCCTCTTGTAATCATCAGAAGACAAAATAATGACCTACATAATTCCAGGAATGCGGCGGACCTAGCATTAGCTGAAGATGTTTGTGTTAGTAGCTGTGACCATTATTTGTGATCATCTTTAACGATGGTCTTCCAGATTTTAAAGTATAAAAGATTTTTGGTAGATTTAATGCAAGTGTTAGTTCTCCATTAAGCAGGGTTCCTTTGACTCTTCAGGAAGACACCTCATGGGGAGAACCACATTTCAGACAGAAATCAATCAATCCTGTGATGGTACACTACTACTCTTGTTCATGAGAACCAATTTACATATATTTCCCTCAGTGTAGGAGGGGCTTTGCGGTGCTCCCTGACCAGTGGAAAACACTGACTATCACTTAAAAACAACAGAACCATACAGTAATATTACTCTCTCTTTACCCCCCCCCCCAAATCCTGTTGTTGTTTTAAAGGTCTGGGTAAGCTCATTCAATGGTAGGGGTGACTATCGAGACAGGCAAGAGAAAGAAATTTCTGGCTATGGAAAAAAACAGTGAAATAGAAGAGCTCAGGTTTTTCATTTATTTATAGAAATGTTTTAAGTGTGTGTGTGAAGACAAGAAATTGAGAGAAGGTGTTTAGATATCTTAAACTCTGTCATATATGTCTTTAATATGTTGCATGACAGTTCTTCCCTGGCATTCTGGCACTAAATAGTTAATAAGGACTTCCCTGGTGGCTCAGATGGTAAAGTGTCTGCCTACAGTGCGGGAGACCCAGGTTCGATCCCTGGGTCGGGAAGACCCTCTGGAGAAGAAAGTGGCAGCCCACTCCAGCACTCTTGCCTGGAAAACCCCATGGACAGAGGAGCGTGGTAGGCTACAGTCCATGGGGTCACAAGGAGTTGGACACGACTGAGTTAATAAACTTTAGAAAAAAATAAGCCATATAAGATAAAGCTTTATATATTATGTATATAAATATGCAGTAAAGTTAGCTATATTACAAACAATTCATTAAATAAGTAAAAATGCCCAGATTTCTAATCACCTGGCCACCAGAAGATGTACCATGAGCAAAATGTGAAAGGATGGCTTTGGAAAAGCAGCAGTTACACCTTTGGGAGTAAGGGAGGCTACAGCAGGCTGCCCTGTTCACTGTTTCAGGTGGTAACAGACTTCACTCCTTGCATGTCCCCAATCTTGTCTGTGGCTCTCAGAATCCCTTTTCCTGTCTGACTTATTCTAGGCACCCTTTCTCCTCAAGCCTCCATGGAACTGGAAGACAAAACTCCCTAGGAAATGCTCACAATCACCATCCTTCCAAACTACCTAATCAGAAAGATGCTTGCTTCACACACAACTTAATTTCTAGGAGGTCTAATGATTCCCTCATATCCACATTTCTTTTTCTCTTTGAATCTGAATGAAGTTTTGTTTGTTTCATGCACCCATTTGAAAATGCAACAGGAGGTGGAAATTTCATCATGAGCAAATGATATACATGATCTATAAAACATAAACCCATAAAACAATCAAGCAGATACATTATATGACTTAAGATTACTAAATCCATGGGGGCTGATTTTTCACCTAGCAATACCATAAATGAGAAAAATCACAAACTGCCTTACTTTGTTATGATCAAGCATTGCATAGCTTTGGGTGGCTACTTTTTTCTTTAGGTTTTTAGTTGTGGATTTAAAGGATTTATATCCAGTAAGCCCTGTTATGATTCAAGTTAAGTGATGATCCTGGCCTTTTGGTGAGTCCGTGGATGAGTAAGAACTTGATCACGTGCTATGTGTGTACACACCTCAACTGAACACTAAAAGATCAGTCACTATATTCCATCAAGGATGATATTATCATATTAAACAAACAAGGACAACTTTCTGCTCTCAGGTGTATTTCTGAAAGTATTTAGTGAGGATTTGGGTCAGAGTGTGCGAGTACACAAGTGTTTTGAGAGAGAGAGACTGGAGACGGACACAGCATACCTCAGTTCCCTTGGTTTCCTCCATGAACCTCCTGCTGACTGTGACCAGAGCCTCCCGGGGCCAGGCATGGAACCAGTCAACAGCCGTGCAGTTAACCAGGGCTGGGAACTTCCGAGCTCTACTTCTCAGCGTGTGACCAACCGGAGAGAAACACAAAACGATCTGTGGAGACACGGGGGCAGGGCAGAACCAGGAGGGTGACGAGTGAGCAAAGAATCACACTGAGACCCTGGACAACGAAAGAAAGGAGCGCAGCCAACCGTGACATTAAAGCAGCCTGAAGCACCACAGAGTGGAAAGCAACATTAACCTCCCTGCTAATCAAAGTACACAGGACCCCGTCGGACGGACATACAGAAATACTGCTGTGCTTTCCTTAAAACCAGGCCCTCTCCTTCTGAACATTTTTGATGACCATTATGTATAGTGAGAAATTCCTTCTTTTTCTATTACACAAGTCAATTATGACAGTAAAAAATAAAAAATTAAAAATCAAATCTCTGTGATAATACCAAGATTTTCATCTTCTGGCTCCTATTATGTAATTCACCAGACTCCATAAAACTGTGTATAAGATACTTTTAAGAAAACAATATTTTGTCATATTGAATACTTTGTTCCCATTTAAAATAAAATACATTCACTTGAGTTTATGCTTAACATTTTTAAAAGAGTAAAAAGGTCGGTTTACACATGATCCCAAAGAGAAATCTGTAAGTTTGTAAAGTTCTATTTAAGTATTCAATGACTTAAGAGCTCATTTAAATCAGGAACTTTCCATCCTCTCTTTAGTGACTCAGGGCTGCTACTATCAAGAGTACCTGAATTCGGCTGAGAGGCGTGTCACCGAAGCTCAGTGAGGCAAGCAGGTTGTCAGGAGCTGGGTGGGTCTGAAAATCCTTCCTGGGATCATCAGATGTGGTGCTCTGTGTATATACTAGCACAAAGGAGGTGCTTATGAAGCAGCCCTTTCGTGCTCTGCCTTCTCTCCCAGGTCACTGTGGACTTGAGGGCACTGGGGGGACTGGTGCCAATTGGGATAACGTCTGAGGACAAGTCTTGGTTTTCTTTTTTCTAGACACGGCTTGCACTTGATGACATAATACACAAAGCTCTGCGGTTCTCTTAATGAAATCTCTCTCACTTTGAGATCAGGCATCTGACAAAACCATTTTTCATGAGATATGATTTTTCCCGCATTGCAGTTTAGAATTCATGTCATAAAAACCATAATAATATGTGAAACCTTATATTCCCATTTAACAGGTGCTTTTACTCTGTTAATTGTATATACTATGGCTCTTCAACAACTCGAGATGAATCCTAAGATCTTAAGTGCTTTTCAACAATGCATAAGCTGGCTGATCATTTATTTTTTTATATTCAAGAGTCTAATTACAAATCTAATAACTGCTCTAAAATTGCATGTCCTCAGTAAGGAGCTTCAGTTACAATGCAGAATTTTCACTTAAAACACAGTTTTTAGATTTCTCCTCTCAATCTTGTCTCCCCAAACATGAATATTTTTCTTTTCTGTCCTCCAAGTTGGTTTTTCACACCCAACTTACCTCTCATTCATGACAATTTTAGAAACTTCATTTATATGTAATTTTAACAAAGGCAGAGGAGGGGGAAGCTCATTTGAGTTGCTAAATATTTCTATCACTTCTACACTTGCTGTATTTCTACATTTATTACTGGCATACTATCAGATCTTAAAAGTGTGTGAGAAAACAAAGCATCTGAATCATGTCTGGTTAGCCTCAGGAAAAAATACTTTGACTAAATATCACTAGATATGCCTTATTTACTGGAAGATAATATAGAATGCTGATTTAAAAAAAAAAACAACTATTTCCTTTTCTTCAATTTTACAGTTGAATACATCTTTTCCCCTATGTTATTTATTGTGGCTTAAATAAGGATGCTCACAGTACCATCTAAATTTCACATGGCGGGCAGGCGACAGGACGCTGGTGGTTTTCAAAGTTAGGAGTTGGTGAGAAATGCAAACCCTTGGATCTAACCCAGATTTGGGGATCAGACGACTCAGGCCTCTGGGTGGGGCTCGGTAAACTGTGTTTGCAACAAGCTATCCAGGTGACTGTGACACCCAGAGCTATAACCTAATCATATGAAATTTTCTGTGGGAATACCTAAATGAAGCATCTACATTTCTAACGCTTTTGCAGTTGGTGAAACACTCACAGAATCTAAATTTCTATCTACATACAGAGTGAAATAGAAAATATAGAGAATTTTAAATAAATCAGATAATCCTTAATAACCTAAATCCTATCTCATAAAATAGACCCTGGGAACAAAATCAGAGAAATACGCTTGTTCACAAGTACTTTCTAAGAAGGGAAAGGATTCCGTCCTACGAGCCTGGAGGAGTGCAAAGACTGCTCAGATTCTTAGATCAGGAATCTCCACCTTTGCTAGAAATCTAGCACAGACTCTCTCCCCATCCAGCCTTCCGTGGCAGTGGTCTACGTCAGGTTTTTCCGAGAGCCCAAGGGAATGTCTGGAAACGGCTGGTTGCTTTGTTCTTTTTTTTTTTTTTTTACATTTGTGCTTCAGTTTATTTTTTTTTATTTAATTTATTTATTATTATTTTTTTTTTATCACAACCATAGTGTATCTTTTTTTTTTTTTTTTTTTACATGTATTCCCCATCCCGGTCCCCCCTCCCACCTCCCTCTCCACCCAATCCCTCTGGGTCTTCCCAGTGCACCAGGCCCGAGCACTTGTCTCATGCACCCAACCTGGGCTGGTGAACTGTTTCACCCTAGATAATATACGTGTTTCAATGCTGTTCTCTTGAAACATCCCACCCTCGCCTTCTCCCAGAGTCCACAAGTCTGTTCTATACATAGGAGTCTCTTTTTCTGTTTTGCACATAGGGTTATCGTTACCATCTTTCTAAATTCCATATATATGTGTTAGTATACTGTAATGGTCTTTATCTTTCAGGCTTACTTTGTTCTTTTTAAAGATAGTCTCCACAACTTAGATACTCTGGAGTAAACCTGAGTTGTTGCCTCAAGGAACACTGTTGTAAGGAGGCGGGGAATCATCCTATAATGATCCTATTATAGTTCCCTCATTTCATGAAAGATTAACATAGTAAAGCACTGATAAGAAATAAGACAAATAAATGATTAGAAAAAAGGGTGTAATATCTATAATTTACCCTTTCAGTTCTGTTGATATATAAATGACAAATAAAACTGTAAGTTGTTTGATATGTACAATGTGACAATTTATAAACAGACATTGTGAAAGGATTCCCCCCATTGAGTCAGTTACACATCCTTCACCCCATATGTTTACTTTTTTTAGTGAGAATATGTAAGCTCTACTTAGCAAATTTCAATTATACAATACAGTATTATCAACCATGTGTGCGTGTTAGTTGCTCAATCGTGTCTGACTCTTTGTGACCCCATGGACTGTAGCCCACCAGGCTCCTCTGTCCATGGAATTTTCCAGGCAAGAATACTGGAGTGGGTTGCCATTTCCTTCTCCAATTGTCAACTATGGTCACCATGTTAATCTCTAGGTCCTCAAACCTTCTTTATCTTGTAATTGAAAGTTTATAGCCTTCTACCAGTCTCTCTCCCTATTTCTCTCACCCCTTACCAACCACTTTTCTACTGTTTCTGTAAGCTCTACTTTCTTTTATCGCACATATTATTGTTACCATGTAGTGTTTGTCTTTCTCTGTCTGGCTTATTTCACTTAAATAATGCCCCCAAAGTTCAACCATGTTGTCACAAATAACAGAATTTCCTTCTTTTTTAAGGCAGAATAATTCCCATTGTGTTTGTGTATCCATATGTGACTGTGTAGATAGATGTGTGTTTATATCTTGCATTTTCTTGATTTGTTCATCCCTTTACAGATGCTTCAGTTGTTTCCATACATTGGCTACCATGGATAAATACTGCTATGAGTATGAGAGTGTTTTTGGTCAAATGCTTTTTCTCCATCTACTGAGATGATCATATGATTAGCCTTCATTTTGTTAATGTGGTGTATCATAATGACTGACTTGTTGATGTTCAACCATCCTTGCATTCTTCAATAAATCTCACTTGATCGTGGTGTAGGATATACTTCTACTGTATTGTTGAATTCAGCTTGCTAACATTTTGTTGAAGATTTTTGCATCTATGTATCAAGGACATTGTCCTATAATTTTCTTTTCTTGTGGTATCCTTATCTGGCTATGGTATCAGGGTAACACTGGCCTTATAAAATGAGGGTTTCCACTCCTATTTTTGGAAGAGGCTGAGAAGGATTGATATTAATTTTTCTTGAAATATTTGATAGACATCACCAGTGAAGCCATCTGGTCCTATAAAATATACCTATGAAATACTTCAGTCTACTATAACATGCATGCGAATACTCATTTTATACCTTAGGAGCCATTATCTGGTTATCCTCTGAAGTACATCAGTAGAGACTACACAGGCTAGGGATGCTTAACAAGCATTTCATATACTCTAATGGAAGCCTGCATTATTAAGTTGGCTACCTGAGCTCTTAGCTAACTTCTCTTATCACCATAAGTGGTTAGTTGGTCAGCATCATGAATACTGAATATGACTGTTCAATGATGAAATGATATTGTTCATGGTATCTTAGAAATATAGAAATAATGGTACTTGCACCTCCACTGTTCAAGAAACAAAACAGGAAAATACATCTTGAAGTATCCCAGTAATTTTCCCCTTGACACCTTAGACTTTGGATTTGACCAGTCCTGTGGTAAATAGCTTATAGAAAGGAGAAACTTTTTGTACTTTTATGCAATACCAATGAGAATCTTTGCTTAATTCTACCATGAAATATTTCTATACCTGCCTCAAAGGAAAGTTGCCAGAGGACTAGTCAGGTTCCTAAAAAGACAGAGTCAGGATTACAAGCTTATAGGCCAGATTTTAAGACTTCAAAACTTAGTTATGTGCTACAAACCCTATATACACCAGAGTTCAGTCTGAGGCTTCTTTCTTCGCAGCACACCTTAAATTGGGAGATTTGGGGGGATCAGTCCCCAACCCTGAACTGGTGTCATCTACTTCCAAGTACTGACGGTCCCTGAAATATATCCCCAGATAGTTCCTCACAATTGCAGATGACCAAATTGGCTT